TTTTTTTTTTTTTTTGTTGGTTGATGTAGGAAGCTGCAGCGAAGTGGTAAAGGTACGATCACTGTGAGTGCGCACTAGGTAAATTCCGTTCCAAATGCAATAGTTCGCAAATCATACAGAAAAGGTAAATCGCACTCGACAAGCCCGATGCGATGAGTTTGACCGATGAAGTGTTTCCAGAAAATTCGAAGATATTACTTCGCTTTAATCACAAGGAAGGAGAAGGAAAGGGAAAGGGCGGGAAAGGTACACTATTTTTGTCTAGAAGCAGGAAAAAGTAGGAGATAAAAAAGTAGAGAAGTATTTTGTCCCTTCTCACGTCATTCAATTCTGCCTTTTTGCATTAAAGACAAATTAACAGCTCAACTACTCTTCAAAAATTCTATCCTTTCTTTTTATTTTTTGCTTTTGTTTTTCTTATATTTTATTCTTCAAAAGTTGACTTATATTTTAAGGGAATGTTTGCCCATATGATCCATTTAATTGTATATGTTATTTGTCGTATAAACTAATATTATAGAATCAATAAAACTAGATACATTATTCATTGTGAATAATTCCCTTTTTTGTTGTTGGATTATGTCATTCAGCCAAAAAGAGTTGACATATACAGTGACAGATGAAGTGGTGATAAAAAATGATTCGATGAAAGAATTAACTGTATTTTAAACTGTTCAATTATAAAATAATATATAACATTATGTCTACTTTGTAAGCATTGTAGTACAACTTTTTCTTGTTTGGGCAATTGACAATTGGACAGAAGAGTTAAGCCATTTGTCTTGGTTCAATGATCAGGACAAATGACAGGACGCCACCTGTAATTGGAGGAGGCCGACTTCGGTCAGCTCTCCCTCCAATTGTATTGCAGTTTGCACCACCTCGGCGCATGTATTTGGGCCCGAGCCGGGGCCCTATAGCAAATCTCTTGGACCAAATATTTAGAGTGTGTTTGGTAGGGATTTTTGGAGGAATAATTGATTTTTGAATAGTGATATGATGGGAAATGTGTGGTTGAAAAAGAAGAAAAAATTATTGATGTGATGGAAAATATTATTTTATTGAAAAATGTGTCGTTGAAAATGAGAATTGATTTG